AGAGTTTGGTATTGTCTATTACATTTCTATGCACAATTATAGTTCAAGAACCAAGTTTTTCAAGTCATACATAGAAAGGAGTTTCCTGTGTTTGCCGTTTCAATAATCAATACTGCTTTCTGTCTTGCCAGAATTCTCCTTATCTCTAAATTTGAATAAAAAATATTAATAATATTTTAAGGTAAAGGTGATGATGAATATATGAATGTAATTGCCAGCTCTAGTTTCTCTTTGGATGGGAATCATTCCACTTTCTATTACTTCCATGTTTTCTTCTCTCTTTCACTTATTTTTCTTCCTTTATTTCAACAAAATTGAAGACCAGACGCTATGCTCAATGTTGAAGACATGGCTCCCACAACTTGCAATGGACTAATAGTGATAAGGGTACAAATCAATAATTTAATCTACTCTGAAGAAGCAGTAAAAGGGTTTAAGTTCTCTAACCCCTGACCCTCCTAAACCTTCTTAAAAACACAATAGGGCCTAATGTGATTACTTACTTGGCCAATCTTGTCCTTGCAAATGTCAGGATCCCATATGTGTACCAGTTTACATCCCGGTCCTTTTACTTCCTGTGTGGCCTGAGAAAGCAATAGAGGATGGCCCAAATCCCTGGGACCCTGCACCCTCGTGGGAAATCAGACAAAGCTCTTGGCTTCTAGTTTTGGATCAGCTCAGCTCTGGTTTGCAGTCATTTGGGGAATGAAACAATGCATGGAAGATCTTTCTCTCTGTTTCTCCTTCTCTCTATATATCTATGTTTCCAATAAAAATAAAATAAACATTTTTAAAATCTAAAAAAAATCACTGATTTTCATCACAGTCTGCTGTTAAATTTGCCTTCAAGAAAATGATTATGTGCAAAGTGACTATTGGCATTGATTAAGAGACTGTTTAGTTTAGTCTTTTTTTTTTTTTGTAATAAGCATTCTTCCACAGTTTGAATACTATGGACATTAATCATTAAATTTTTTTCTATTATGTATCACAGAACACTTTAAAGTTATTGTTCTTGGTGAACAATCATGATTAAAGATGCTCTAAGGCCAAAAGACACCTCCCCATTGCCCACAAAAACTTTTCTACATAACTAATAAGGAATTAATATCCAGAATCTGTAAAGTGTTCAAGACACTCAACAATGTAAAAAAAAAATCTAGTTTAAAAATGGGAAAAGTAAAAGAACAGGAATTTTTCAAAAGGTGAAATTCAGATGGCCAGAAGGCATATGGAAAAAAAAATGCTCAGTTGACTAGCAATTTGTGAAATCCAAATAAAAACCATGAGGAGGCTTTAACCATGCTCCAGTTAGAATGACTATCATACAGAATTCAGAAAAAAAAAATAGAAAACAATAAACACTGCAAAGGATGTGGGAAAAAAAGATCCTTACCACACTTTGGGTGGGACTGTAAGCTAGTAAGATTGTGATAGAGGACAGTATGACGATTCCTCAGAAATCCAAAAATAGATCTTCTGTGTGACCCAGGCATCTCACTCCCTGGAACTTATTACAATGAAATAAAACCAGCATATGAGATAGCTCTCTGTACTCCCATATGTATAGCACCTCAGTTCATAATTGCTAAGATATGATATTAGCACTATGTCCATCAAATAATGACTGAATAAAGAAAATGTCATGTGGTATGGATTGCTACTCAGCCATAAAACAAATGAAGTCAGGACATTTAGAACAAAATGGATTCAGGTAGAAATCATTATACTTAGTGAAAAAAGCCAGTGTGAAAAAGACAAATATCATGTTTCTCCTGATCTTTGGTGACTAGTACAAGGAATATAAAAAAAATTATGATTTGTATGAGCAAAATTGTCTTTTTGAGGTTTGCAGCCTTTCTTCAATACTGTTGAGGAACAGTGATTTTTATTTATCTATCTTTTTAGAAATTTATTTATTTTGTGATATAATTCTGTAGGCTCGCAGATTTCCCCTTCTACCTCCCCAATTTTCCTACCTCCACTGATTTCCCCTTGTTTATTACAATGAAATAGTCCTTCAACAACTGTGAGAAGTCCAATTCTGTTCTATAAGTAAATCCTGAAATTGTAGGTGTAGACAATGGCAGAAAGTCCAGCATGCTAATATCGAGATATATTTAATAGTTTCATTGGAACTGTGATTTTTTTAGATGCTCTTATTTAATTCCTTACCCAAGAACATGTTAAGGCTGTGATTGTGAAATGACCTGATTGTATGGTTTGTGGAGAACAATGGCAGGAGAGTGGGTGGTGGGAAATATGTTTATGCTCCTAAATCTGTATTGTGAAATGCATGAAATTTGTTCACCCCATAGAAATACAATAATTCCTAAAAATATGTTTCCATCAGCAGAATCCAATAACAATAGGTATCCACAAAGGAAGAGCAACATATTTATGTGAATATGAGATTGTCTCTTAAATAGCTTCTTATTCAGGTTTTTCAGAACTGGTTCTGTGAAGAATTGAGCTTTTCCTTTACTATTTTCTTTAAGAAAGGCAACCCTGATACCACTAGATCTGTCATATGATTGTTAAGTTCCTTTCCACTTGAGCAAAAGGAAGAGTTGAAAGCTTATTTCTAAGCAAAGGCCATCTGGGAAATTCAGAGGATTCTGCACACACTTTTATCCTCAATGCCAAAATATGTTCTGAATATTAGCTAGATGGTTGCCTCCTGCTTCAATTTAGTTACCTAACGAAGCAATTCGTAGTCGTGGATAAATATGTTCAGAACCAAGGACCAATTTTTGTGTTGTTGTGGTTGGAAATGCAAACTTCTCACCACCACATCCCAATATTAGTGATGTGAAGACCTCCAGGTTATCTTTTCTTTGCTCTGGAATAGGTGATCCTCGTTAGAACTCATGGCTTCATGGTTCATGGCTTCAATCTGTCTCTACTTCAGCCCCCGCCCCAAAATAGCAGGAACAGGATAATCTATAGATGTGACTCATGTCTTATCTAGTAAAGGCAAGTGCTCCCAGTTCTTTAGGGAAAAAATTACTATCAGCAGGATAAAGATTGTTGTGATTATTTGTGATTAATAGTATCGTTCACACACACAATTATGGGGGAAGGGAAAACGAGCTTGATTCATTCGTGTAGCCAGTACGAATTGGATATGATTTTGCCGGATATTCTAATTTCCCCAAGTGCTTTCATGGAAAGCAGAATATTTGGCTCCCACGGCAGTGTGTGATGGGTAGATAAGGCAAGAATTTTCATCAAAAATGGTAGATGACAGTGTGGTGTTCCCCAAGCATGAGGTGATTCTTCACAGAGTTTCATAGATAACATTGCTTAAGTGCCTTGCAAATGACCTTTTCTGACTTTGAATGGGGTCTGGAAAACCTTGTTACACTCTCTACTAAACTATGTATGTCCATGGTCCAAACATTTATTTTCTATGGTTATATTACTCAACTAACAGTCTTTTAAAACTATCACAAAATAATTTAAACTGTTGTTTCATCTCTATAGATTTATTCTTTGCTAAACTCGTCTATATATGTATAAAGAAACAGAATCAATTTAGGCAGTTTTTTTAAATGTGTGGAAAATATGCCCACCAGCATGGAAGTAATTTAGTTGAACGTTATGTTTGCACTAAATGCTACGCCAGTTACCTGAAATAGCTCCATTGCTGGATAAATAACTACTGAATGATAGCTTTATGGTGCTGCACAGGGAAAGCACCTGAATCTATTTATTCCTTGCGCTCACACAGAATGGGATTGGAGGGGGATCCTTGTCTTGATGTAGTTGATGTGGGAAGCAGAGCATGAAGGCTTCCAAGGATGGCAGGCTTCTGTATTAAAACTGTTACATTTATACCCAAAATATTAATGGAATGAATCAAAGAATTTGGTTTTATATAATGTCTTAAACAATAATTGGCCCTGATCAGACTGAGAATGTTAATGACAATGAAGCACCATAGTGGTATGTTCTTCCTCCTAGGACGTGAATCATTCAAAGTGATTTATCATGTAACAGTACCATGTCATTCTAAATACAGGTTTGAAGACTTACTGTGTTCAGAGGTTCCAGAGTAATTTATCAAGGTTTCAACTTGATTCCCTCCTCTGTGGTGTTTCTGATTACATTAGTGGAATTCAGCAATCTGCATTTTGATTCTCTAGGCTATTCTGTTGCAGGTGGTCTAAGTTTCAGCACTTCAGTATTTCTGGAAAGTATGGCAATCGAATATAGTTTGGAAAAGAGAATTATGATTTCTAGGAACTGGGAATAGAACCTAGATATAATAGGTGTGGAGTTTTATCTGGGCAGAACTAAAGGTCCTGAGGTTATGTGTTAGCAGTACCTGAATGGACTTAAGCTAATGTGCTATAAACATTAAAAAATGCTATGCTAGGGCCCAGTGCAGTAGCCTAGTGCCTAAAGTCCTCGCCTTGCATGTGCCAGGATCCCATATAGGTGCCAGTTTTAATCCCGGCAGCACTGCTTCCCATCTAGTTCCCCGCTTATGGCCTGGGAAAGCAGTGGAGGATGGCCCTAGGCTTGGGACCCTAAACCTGCATGGGAGAACTGGAAGAGGCTTCTGGCTAGTGGCTTCAGATCAATGCAGCTTTGGCCATTGAGGCCACTTGGAGAGTGAATCATCAGACAGATGATCTTCCTCTCTGTCTCCCTTCCTAAAAGCTTGGTTCGATATCCCATTCTTACTAAATGCTATTAAAGAAACAAGATCTCCAATTTCAAAGCATCATAATTGTGGGCTGTAATAATACTTCATGATTTATGTGTAATAGAACTAAAACATTAGACTAAGTTTAAAAATCTCTAAAATTTTGAATTTGCTTTGCTAAGGAGAAAGCAGGTATCTTGTATCTGCGAGTTGATGAAATTCATGCTAGTGATCTAATCACTTAATTTTCATTCTGATGGTTGTTCCTCCAGAACAGATTTGTGTGATTTTGTCTTGCTTACTTTTGCAGTGGAAAACTGTGTAGTGATACTCATGCTCTTTTCAGGATAGGGTGTGGGCCAGTGTGGGGAAGAGCCTGAACTGCGTAATAGCGATGGTGGATAAATTGATCGAAAGAGACGATGGTGGTGAAGGCAGTGCTGACAGCAACAAAGATGGAGAGAAGGATCCTTCACTAGTGGATTCCATCATGCCTCATCCAAGGGGTAAGAAATCATTTTTCCCAACCACTGACTGAGTAAATAAAATGAGAAAGCCATGATAAAATGAGATAGAAGAAGAGAGTCAATAGTGCCTTTGATGGGAGTGCTGATAGCATGCTTTCCCACTGCCCTGGCGTAGATGATGGAAGGCTGTTTATCAAATTGCAGCTCAGTTGTGTTTCAGAGCCACTTGTAAGGCTCATCATTTTATTTTTTTTTTCTTACCTAAAAATCTTAGGGTAAAAAACATTATATTCTTCTAAAGGCTGTGACATGGCTTAATCTACTTTCACACATTCTTCCAAAATTTTATTAGGAAGACAAAGAAACATCTGATCTGTTAATTCTGAGAAACTTAGATATCAGAACACAGTCTTACATAACTACTAAATGGAATGCAATATGGTAGAATGTTTTCTGCCTGATTCCGGAAAATATTTTTTGAATTATTCCAAAAGCATTTAAGCATCTTGAATTCTGAGGAGTATGTTTTCCGAAAATATAGATAAGGTATTTTGCGGAATAAGGTACAGAAAGTTATACATGTGTGTGTCTATAGATAAACACTGATAAATAAAAGAGGTGATTTTAATGCTTCTTGGAAAACATGATGCCATTTTTAACTATAGTTATTTATATGAATTTGATTGTTGATCCCCTGTATAGGCACATTTTAGTGGATTATGTTGAGACAACATAAAAACAACCATCTACATTTCTTCATAATTGCAGAAACTTAAGACTTGCCTAGACCTCTTTTTCTTTGCTAAGAATTTAAACATGTTCAGAAAGAATAAAAGGTATTTCAGTATATTCTTTTTCCGAAGTATGTATTTTTATGAAATTGATTTAATGTTTTCCAATTTGCCTGATTTTTCATCACTCGTAATTACATCAGTTTAATCATGTAAAATATCAGTCTTTCTTCTCTTGATTTTTAGTAGAGTCCTTTAGAAGTCATATTTGTGAAATATGACGTTAAACGTTTTTCTTAATAGACAATCTCTCTTCCATTGTGCATTCACATAGGATAAAAGTTCAGATATATTTTTATGGTAACAGGTGGATCTATGAAGCTTTTCTTTCTGGTAATATTACTTATATTCGATAATTATGGTATAGGTCCATATATCTATGTATATCAAAAGGAAAGCCTGTCATAGTTATGTTATGAAGAAATAACATGCTTCATTTGTCCTTTATTGAGAATTTATTGACATCAGCTGTGAGGCAGATATTAATCTGTAGATTATCTATCGAAGGATCTGGACATATTATTTGGATTATGGATACTCAATTTTTGCTACATTTTTAAAATTAAAACACATGTTTATTTTGGTGGCAAAAGTTGAAATGTATTCATAGTCAAATCTCAGTATTGACAATGTTATGCTCTCAAAATTGAATTCCAAAATTGAATTACATATTTTTTTTAAATCAAGGGAGTTCTGAGTCAGAATATTGTCTTTCTCCAACTTTAAAATCATTTATGAGGTTGCACTAAATCCCTTAAGTAAATAAAATTTTATTCATACCCATGGTATAACCTAAAGAGCAAATCTTTTGGGATTCAAATATTCCTTCTTACCATTCTAACTCAGGAAATGTAATATTAAAAGTGGGTCATTATCATTACATATTCTTTTTATATGAAATTTATTTATTATTTCTGATACAGTTCCATAGGCTCTGAGATTTCCCTTAATTTCTCTTACACCCTTACAATAGTATAGTCCTTCATAATCAGTCATAGGTTCATCATTCAGCTATTTTAGAGTATCCTTGTAGGTAGGGAAAACGACAGAGTATAGCATCTTAGTGTCAGGATGTATTTAATAGTTTCATTGAGAATCCATCTTTGATTTGGAAGTAAAGATGCCTGCTGCATTGCATCTTCACATCTGGTTGTGCTAGTTTCTATTACACAGTTGCTATTCATCCCCTTAAATGAAAATCCAGAAAACAAAGTAAAAAACAGAAGGAAAAAGAGAAAATTAATAAGACATAAAGTTAAGTAGCATGCTTCTGAATGATCAATGTGTCACCGAAGAAATAAAAATGAAAATCAAAAAACATCTTGGCTGCTGTGTGACCTATACGTCAGTGAGGAAATTAATAAGATAAAAAATGTTTTGAATGAATTAAAATAAAACAAAATGATTGTATATTCTAATGTACACTGGGTTGAAAGAAGGTATTCTTATTTGAAATATGAACCTGAAATTAAAGCATGTCTTTTTTATGTCAAGATCTTGGGAATTTTTTTTCTGTGAAAAAAATGTGCAACAATATACATAGGATTTTGAAATGTCTGGTTAAAAGTATACTTTTTCAAAAAGTATGTGAACATTTATGGAAAGCTCTTAAACATGAAATTCAGGAGAAATATTAGCAACCAGAGAACACATATGTCACCTGGCTACATCCTGTGTGGATATGGCAATAGAACTTGGACTTTTCATTTCTCAGGCTGGAGATAGCTGTGGATGAAATTCATGGCCCTGGAAGTCAGAAGTTCATTTTATCCATGACTTGCTGGCTGAAGGACTACAGCTCATTGCTTAGCATTCCTTGACCTCAGCTTCTTACTTGTAAAATGTAAATAATAAAAAACTCTGTCTCATGAGGCAGTAGTGAAAGTTTAATATAAGGTCTGCCAGCTCTGCTCAGACCAGGGATGGTCTCTCAATGAAACTGTTGAATTTATCTGGACAATAAGATGCTCGACTCTCTGCATGGTCCATGCCCGCAATGAAGGAATCATGACTGGATATGAACTATACCACTATAACATTATGATGGAATTCAGTATGGGAGGAGGGCTTTTTGGAAGGGTTAGGGGAATCCCAGAGCCTATGAAACTGTGTCATAAAACAAAATATATATATAATTAAATATATATACATATATAGTATATATGTGTGTGTATATATGTATATGTATGTACTATATATATGTAATACACACACACACACATATACAGTACAGGTTCTCAGGCTTGGTCACATATTTGAATCACTTCGGAATCTGCCATAAAGTGGCCCCAATAAAGTGGTAGCATAATATTTGCTCTTCAGTAAGAGTATGATTCATGTTGGCAGTTATTTTTGTTGTATGTGAGGTATTACGCAGCAAAGGTGTTTCCATTTGACTGCATTTTAAATTCCATGGGTAACATTGATCCACCAAGCCCTATTTGAGGCACCATAAAGTGTTTGATATGCCCTAGGAAACTTAGATTTTTTTTGCATCCTTAGATGACTGTGATGTGAAGCCAAGGTAAAGAATGGAATTGCTGTGCTACTTGCTGAATAAGAAATAGAATACATGTCTTTTCCTTAATGTACACAGAATCAAACAAAACATACCTGCAGATGGTCCGCAGACTGTAACTTAAATGGTTAGCCATGTACAGGGTCAGTGTTTCTCATGTTATGAATGCAGATCACATCTCTTAATAGCACCACATGATTACCATTGAAACAAATAGAACAGTCAATATCATCACTGCATTCTTTTGTTTGTTTCTCTGTTTCTTTTGTTTGCTTGAAACCTACCAGTGTCCATTATACTGTTTTTATATTAGATAATACATATTTTTTAATCAAAGCAGTTGCACTCTGCTCTGGAACAATAGGACTTAATTCTTCTTTAATGTTTTGGCCCTGTTTCCTCATCATCTCTATCCCTCCTTAACCCTGGTAACCACCATTTTAAGTTCAGATCTACTATCTAAATATGAGGGATAATGTATGATATTTATGTTTCTGTGTCTGACTAATGTCAGTTAACAGAGCAAACCCAGTCCTATCCACTTGGTTGTAAATGTCAAGATTTCATTTTGTGTTATGAATAAGACTCCATTGTACATAGTATAAAATATTTTCCTTAACCATATATCCAGCATCAACGTGTATTGGCTGTTATGAATAATGCTGCAATGAACGCAGAAGGGTGGATAGCCATACTATTTTCCATAATGATTGTCCTAATTAGCATCCCCACCAACATGCCAGAAGGTTTCTTTGCCTTTGCATTTTTATCAGCAATGTTATTTTGTCTTCTGGTGATGGCCATTCTAAGTGAAGTGTGACTATACTTCATGGTGGCTTTAATCTGCACTCACTGATGACTAGTGGTGCTGAATGCTTATTCATATATTTGTTGATTTTTTTATGTTTATTATTTGCTGTTTGTTCAGCTCCTCTGCTCATTTCCTAAATGGATGTTTTTGTTATTTTTTTGTTGAGTTTTCTAGATTCCTGATATATTCTGCACATTAATCATGTGCCTGAAGATTCATTTACATATGTTTTCAGCACTTATTTTAGTCCTCTTAATTTTGTCTGATATTATCGTATTTGTCTTGTTTTGATTTTCTTGCCTCTGCTTTTCATATATTAAAAACAAAGCCAATCTATAGCATTGTATTGGTGTGCTTACCTTTAAAGTGTTTTAAGTTCTTTCACAGTTTTATCTGTTTCATTTAGGTCTTTGATCCATTATGAGTGATTATTTGTGTGAGGTGAGAGGTAGGAGTTAAAGTTTAAATCTACATATTTGTATGCATTTGAGAAAACTACCTGTTTTCCAGTGTGTATTTTTAGTGCTTGTTGAATTTGAACTGCCTGTGGGTTCATGAAGTAATTCCAGCTTCTGTATTCTGTTCCGTTGTTCTGTATGTCTGTTTTTATGCAGCACTATGAGATTTTCATTACAGTAGCTTTGCAGCATATCTTGATATCAGACATTGTTGATCCTTAGTTTTGTGTTTTTGTTTAGGGTCTTTTGACTGTTTGGTATTTGTCTGCATGTGTATGTGCTTCCATATAAATTCTAGGATTGTTTTATAGAATTCTATGAAGAGTGTTATTGATATTTTGGAGGGGGTATTGCACTGAATCTGTAGATTTCTTTGATATTTTATATATCAATTTTCCAAATATATGAACATGGACACCTTCAATTATTTTAGCTTTTTTTCTTTTATTTGCTAAGTGTTT